CTGGGCTGGGCTGGGCTGGGGGGGGGGGGGGCACTGCTGCGGGGGGGTACTATGCAAAGCTCTTTTACACTGGGGGGGGGAATGGTGTATCCTCTGACCCGCTGTCCTGTGTTAGAGGGCTTGGATTGATTTACACCCTCACTTCCCGTTCCTGGGGTCCATGGCGGGCCGGGGCTGGGGCTGGTTTGCAGGGGCTATACACTCCTTTCTGAGCACTGGTGTGTGTTACATGGGGGAGCGTGTCTGTGCTGTTAAGGTTTGCGTTGATCCCGGGGCCTGGCACCCCGCGTTTCTGCAGTGCACAGTTAATCGGGGCTGCTAGTGTGTCCCTTGCCTGCTGATGTGACTGCCTGTGGAGGTGCTGTGCGGTTGTGTAGTATGATGTTAATTGGGAGTGCCAGACACTGCCAATGTATTTGTGGAGTGGGTTTTTTTGAAACAGTGCATTAAATGGGGGTGCTCTGCCTCTGGGGTTCCTGTATTCTGCAGGGAGTTTATGCATTTGATGGCTTGGGTTTATTTACACAGAATCTGTTTCTATCATGCTCTTCGTATTGGGGGATGCCCTTATTTCAGCAGCTGTTGGCTGTCCTGGCATGTGTTTTGGGTGTGAGAAGATGCTGGGTCTGCACCTGCCGCGTGTTGGCGGTATGTGCATGGGTACTGTGAGACCTGGGCTGTGCTCTCCCTGCAGTTGTGCCTTAGGGCAGCAGGGTCACTGGAGTGGGGTCTGGGGCTTGGCAGGGGTGAGTTTTCTGTGCAGTCATGCTTGTGGCAAAGGGAGGAGGGCTGCAGCGGCTGGTGAGTCAGGCACATGTCAGCCCTGTGTGCGTGGCCAGTTTGCCAGCTTGCCCCTGGCCTGCTCCCACCACTGTTCACTAGCCTTGCCCCTCTGGGAGAGAAGGGAGCTTGCTCCTAGTCCCTGGAGGTAGAAAGATTGGATTCATAGGTTCATGTTAAGGCAAGAAGAAGGGGGGTCATTAGGAACAGATCTGATTTGTACACAGAGGCTTCTCCTCAGTGATCCCTGCTTCCAGCCCCCTTGTTATCTCGAGTGGCTGAGAGGGGACAGGGGTGAGGTCAACCCTTTGGGATTGCTTACAACCTCAGCCTGTCTCCAGACTCCCCAAGGGGACGACCTGGGCTGGGCCTGACACTGAACCCAACCCAAACAGAAGCAATACGCTTCTCAGTGTGGACTAGATCTGCTAAGTGGCTTTTCAACTCTGCTCCAGTGACCCCTTCTCCATTGCTGAGCAAAGGATGGGAGCAGCTGGCTCCCGGCTCTCTCCAGGCAGAGGGTGTGGGGCAGGGTCCTGTGTTGGCGACACTGCTCTGTGGGGTGGTGCAGCACTGGAAGAGATGGACCCCTCTGCCACTCGTGTCCCCTGGGTGGGAAAGGGGGAGTGACCCCCGCCCTGTCCTCCTGGGAATTACGCTCCTATCCCTTTATCCTTGGCATCTGAGAGTGTCCCTACAGCCTGGGGAATCCCCCCACACAGGACCTCCTGCCCATGACGCTGAAAGGAGACAGGAGACGCTGCTGTGCTGACAGGGACATGACCCTAATGTGTCAGCTCAGGGCATTCTGACAGGGAGA